AATCTGGGAATTCTAGACCAGTAAGCCTAATATCTGTGGTAGGTAATTTACTTGAGAAGTTTAAGGGATAAGATATACATGCAGGGTTTGATTAGGAGTAGTCAGCATGGCTGTGTGTATGTGGGACATCATGCCTCACAAATTTGTTAGACTTCTTTGAAGTGACCAGGAAGGTGGTTGAGGGCAGGGCAGTAGATGTAGTCAGTACGGATTTCAGTAAGCCCATTTCAGGTTCCACATGGAAGGCTACTCTGGAAGGTGAGATCGCATGGAACCCAGGGAGAGCTGGCAAATTGGATACACAGTTGGCTTGATGGTAGGAAGCAGAGGGTAACACTGGAAGGAAGCTTCTCTGACTGGAGGCTTGTGACTAGCAGTGCGTCTCGGGTGGGTGCTGGGCCTATTGCTGTTTGTTATCTCTATCAATGATTTGGTTGAGAATATACAAGCCATGATTAGTAAGTTTGCAGATGACACTAAAATCAGTGGTATCATGGACAATGAGAAAGCTTATCAGAAATTGCAGCAGGATCTTGATCAGCTGGGGAAGGAGTTTAATATAGATAAGTGTGAGGTGTTGCATTTTGGAAAGTCAAATCCAGTTAGGAGTTTCATGCTGAATGGTAGGGCCTTAAAGGAGTGGAGGGGAAGAGAGGGACCTTGGAGTTCAGGTGCACAGTTCTGAAAGCAGAGTCGCAGGTATACAGGGCAGTGAGGGTGGCTTTTAGTACACTGGCCTTCATCAATCAGGGCGTTGGAAAGTTATGTTGATATTGTGCAGGACGCTGGCGAGGCCGCACTTGAAGTACTGTGTTCCGCTTTGGTCACCTTGCTAAGGGAAGGTTGTTATTAAACCGGAAAGAGTGCAGAAGAAATTTACCAGAATGTCACCAGGAGTTAGAGGGAGATGTTGGACAAGCAAGGACTTTTTTCTTCGGAGCACAGGAGACTGAGGGGAATTCTTGTAGAAGTGTACAAGATTGAGAGGCATGGATAAGGTGAATACGCTCAGTCTTTTTCCCAGGGTTGGGGAATCGAGGACCAGAGGCCATCAGTTTAAGGTAAGAGGCGAAAGAATACATGGGAACCTGAGGGGCAGCTTTCTTCTTTTTAACACAGGGTGGTATGCATATGGAATGACCTGCCAGCCAGTGTTTGAGGTGGGTACATGAACAACAGTTAAAAGGCATTTGGACATATACATGGATAGGGAAGTTTTTTAGAAGGATATGGGCCAAGTGCAGGGAAATTTGGGTTAATGTGGATGGAGATTTTGGTTGGCATGGACCAGTTTGGGCTGAAGGGCCTGTCTCCATGCTGTAGGACTCTGACTCTGACTCTATTCAGTACGTGTCTGCTCTTGTATTCTAGTCCTTTTGAAATGAATGCTAAAGTTGCATTTGCCACCTTAACTGCCAACTGAACCTAAATGAGAATCTGACCTAGGACTCCTATGCCCCTTTTGAGCTTCAGATTTTCAAAACCTTTCCCCATTTAGAAAATAGTCTGTGCCTGTTCTCCCTACCTACACTCTCCCACGTTGTATTCTATCTATCACTTCTTTGCCCACTGTCCTAACCTGCCCAAGTCCATCTGCAGCCTCCCACTTCCTCAAGATTACCTGTTCTTCTCTTCTTCACCGCCCACGCCAACCTATCTTTTGTCGTCTGCAAACTTAGCAATGTCCTCAGTTCCCTAGTCCAGATCGTTAATATATAACGTGAATAGTTGTTGTGGTCCCAAAACTGACTTGTATGGAACTCCCACTAGTTACTGGCTGCCATCCTGGGAGAGAAAACCCTTATCTCCACTCCCTGCCTACTTATTGTCAGGCAATGCTCTATCCATACCATTACCTTGTCCCTAACATCATTGGCTCTTATTTAGCAATCTCCTGTGTGGCATCTTGTCATAGGCTTTCTGGAAATCCAAGTAAGACATGTCCACTGGCGCTCCTTTGACTAACTTGTTCATTACCACCTCAAGAATTCTAATGATTCGTAAACATGACACCCTTGACAAAGCTATGCTGACTGAGCCTGATTTTACCCTGCACTTCCATGTACTTTGCAACCTCATCCTTAATAATGGATTCCAATCTCACCAATGACAGAGGTAGGGCTGACCAGCCTATAGTTTCCTGTTTTTTTTTTTTTTCCTCCCTCCCTTTCTTCTTAAACAAGTTTGTTACATTTAGCTGTTTTCCCATCCTCTAGGACCCTCCCTGACTCCAGTGATTTCTGAAAGATCATTTCTGATGCTTCTATAATCTCCTCCGCTATCTCCTTCAGCCCTCTGGTGTAGTCCATCTGGTTCGGGTGATTTATCAACCTTCAGACCATTCAGCTTCCCCAGCACCACCGCCTTAGTGGTAGTTACTATACTCGCTCTTTTTACCCCCTAAGTCTCAAGTTCTGGTGTTTTCCACTGTGAAGACTGATGCAAAGTACCGATTCAGTTTTTCTACTATTTCTTTGTTCTCCATTTCTGTTTCTCGAACCTTTTATTTTCCAAAAGTCCAATGTCCAATGTCCATTCTTGCATCTGTCTTACCTTTCAGATGTGTAAAAATAACTCTTAGCTAGTAAAATAAAAAAGATTGCAACTTACTCTAGTACTTTGTCTTCTCCCGACTTAGTTTTTTATTAGTCGCCCTATGCTGGTTTTCAAAGACTTCCCAATATGCTGGCTTCCCATGGTCGTCTTCCCATCGTATGCTTTTCCTTTTGCTTTTATGGTGTCCCTGATTTCCTTTGTCAGCCATGGTTATCCCATAGTGTGTTTCTTTTTTCTTGGGCTGAATTTCTGCTGTGCCTCCCAAATTATCCCTAGAAATGCATGCCATTGCTGCTCCACTGTTTTCCCTATTGAGCCCAATCCACAGCCCGAGTTATGCAATTCATCAGGACTCTGGTCCCGGTATGATTCAGGTGGAGTCCTTCCTTCCCCAGTGGTGGTGCCAACATCCTGTGATCCCACACCAGTTTTTTTGACCCACTTTTTCATCTTGTTGACCTTGTGGCAATTTGCTTGTGGCTCAGGTAGTAATCCAGAGATAATTACCTTTTTTTGGGTTCTGCTTTCTAATTTAATCCCTAGCTACTCACATTCCCTCAGCAGTATCTCTTTTTTTTTTCCTCTTTCTGCCTATATCATTGGTACCTGTGTGGACCTAACCATCATCTATGCTTGTTAAATGACTTTTAAATTTTAAGCAGGTCTGGAATTGCCTGCATTTTTGTTTCTGGATGAGTGTGCTTGTGCAGTTGCCTGCAATTTCTCATATCATGAGACATTGGATTTTTAATTTAACCTTTGTAGCCAGCTTGTTTTTGTTTCATTTCCCCTAGTATACTTGAGCTTTCCCTTCCAATGTGTTCATACCATTTGTCTCACCAATTCACATAGCAGCAAGTTCCATTTTCTAGTCACTCTGGGTTGCCCTGAAATCCTATTTGGATTTGTGAGGGAGTGTCTCATCCTAGTTTTGATCTGCCCAACAAATGAATACATCTCATCTAGAAAAACAAAGTTCTGAGGAAGGGTCACTGGACCTGAAATGTTAACTCTATTTTTTCCTTCTCAGATGCTGCCAGACCTGCTGAGCTTTTCTAGCAACTTTGTTTTTGTTCCTGATTTACAGCATCTGCAGTTCTTTCGGTTTTCATCTCAACTACAACTTACCCATCAACCTTTTTACTGATTATAACGATCTCCATTGGACTGTTTCCAAGTAAAAGAAGGGAGGCGCAGCAAAGCCTTTTGCTCAAGATATTGCCCTTTTTAAAAGCAAAATTTGCTTAAGCAAACGAGCTTATACTCTCTCTTAGATAAAACTATTTAGAGCTTGGTGATCAAAAATAGTTGAAGTACAGCGCTTACTGAAGGGAAAGATATTGGGTAGGAGGAGTATACTGGGTGGTTGACCATGAGACCAGCTGTATTATATGATGGATAAGGAAGTCAAAGCTCACAGGCTTGACTGGATACATTCTGGGACATGACTAAGAAAATTGCAGAGTTCCTGCAAATTATATAAGGTTTTCATTGGATATGGATGTGTGCCAGAGGCTTCAAAAATAACCAGTCTAATACCTATGTTTAAGGAGGGAGGTGGCCATTCCAGATAATTATAGGACAGTCAACTTAATTTGTGATAGGGAAAATTTTAGTTTTTTTATTGAAACCACCATATGTTGACCTGAAGAACATTGTTAGCTACGCCCAGCATTAATTTCCAGAAGGAATGGTTGTGTTTTGAATCTCTCAAAGTTATGAGAAAGTGATGGTCATGGTAGAAGATAAAATAAAATAAAATAAAATGGATAACGTGTTTGTCTTTAGGAACATCTTTGATAAGATGCCTCTTGGGAGATTACTGGAGAAGGTTAATTGAAAATAATAAACTGAAGTAGGGCATTTTGTTTTTCAGTTATTAGAGGAGGATTCAACTTTAGGGCCACTTCTGTTCACTGCACATTGATGATATGAATTTAAGGCCTTGAAAGGAGTGGTATCCAAATTTGTAGATGATCCCATAGCTGAAGATATTCATAATTCCTGAAACTGAAGGATAGGATGTAACCTGATTTTGAACTTTAGAAGCACAGAATCTACATTGCATATTAGTTGGAGATGTTGTGGAGCCACTGTTGGACTGGGGTGGGCAAGGTCAGAAGTCACACGACACCAGGTTATAGTCCAACAGATTTACTTGAAATCTCACGCTCTGAGCTGTGCTCCTTCATTAGGTGACTGACTGTGTGACTTCTGACCTTATTACTTTGAGGTTCAGATGAGCAGACTTCAAACTTTTCACATGCCCATAATTACTGCAAAGCACAGAGGAAGAAGCCACAGTGTGTCTGCATCGAAGTTTTCTATGACTATCATGATGCCATTAAAGTTAGCTAAATAAAAATGTTGCCATCCGTTCTAGATTGGGAACTTCTGTTGATTGCATAGTGTTAACATGTTTTCTTCAATAAAAATTCTTTCAGAGATGCAACAGCGGAGGGTTGTACGACAGAGCAAATTTCGGCACGTCTTCGGACAGGCTGTGAAAAATGACCAATGCTATGATGACATCCGAGTTTCCAGGGTCACTTGGGATAGTTCATTCTGTGCTGTAAATCCCAAATTTGTGGCAATAATTGTGGAAGCAAGTGGTGGTGGAGCATTTATGGTACTTCCTTTGCAGAAGGTAAGTGTAATAGTTGCTACATTTAAAAAGCTTGATCCTTTTAATTTAAGATAACTTGAACAGTATCGCTGGACCTAATTTTCCTCCCTCAACGGTTCATAAATGTTGGAAAAATTCAAACAAACATATGAAAGCACGTTGTAGCCCAGCAATATTTGGGCTCTTAGATTTCAGCATTTGATGTGATTTGACTTGATTTTTTTCGAGAGGATTAATGCTAACTAGCCAACTTGCCATGATGCAATTGTGTGTTTAAAAAGTTATATTTGTATAAACACTTGATTTAAGGTGGTTATTAACTTATTTTAACTTAAAAAGCCATTTGTACAAAGTCTCAATAGAGTAATGGTGTTCCAGTGTAGCCTGGTTGTAGTTGTCTGGATTTTAATAAAGTAAATTTGTTTTTAAAAAAGATGATTCCACTTTGCTTGATGAAACATGATTTGAAAGATAGTAACAAAGCTTGTGCATGCATGTCCGTCGATTCCTTGCGGCTAAGCGCAGACCACGTTTACCATCAACTGACTGCTCAGGCATGACAACTTCTGTTGTAATTTTAAAGGAAGATCTCCTCCTGCTCTGCTGTTTTTTTTCCCCTACCCCTCTCTTCCCCTGACCCCCCTCTTCACCCTTCTTCTTCCCTCCTTTCCCTTCCTTTCCCTCCCTTGAGCTCTTCCTCCCGTCACAACCTCTTCACTTTACTCATTTCAAGATAGAATGGGCAATTTTCCTTATTTTTTTGAGCCTATGCATCTCAGACTGTTGAGCAAAAGGTGTTCTTGCACTCTACTGTTGGAATTTTTCTGTCCTGAAGTATATTAAGGCAGGGAAGGTGAGGGTTCCCTCCCAGTGTGTATTTGCTCATGGATTTAAATGTTTTAGCTACTTTGAAGCCTTAAGCATTTTCAGTTTCTAAGGCATCTGTCAAAATTTGAGTTTCTTTGTTCCAGCACATAATTGACATATTCTCCAAGTCAAAGAAAGCGAGCGTCTTGGGTCAATGATTAGTTCTTGCTGTACTGGAGCAAATCAGCTGTATGTAATTAATGAATTTGTCTTTCCAGTATTGATAGGTTGATTTAGAATTGTTGTCCTTCAGAATTTTTCAGTTTGGTTTATGTATAATACAGTAAAATTGTATTGCTGGAGGACAAGAGCTATTGTCAATCATGGCAAAGAGCAGAAAACCTATTACCTAGAAAAGCCTTCAAGTAATAGGAAAATTACCTGAAGTAGGTAATGGAAATGGAGCAAGTCTTTTAGTAGTCTTTTGACTGCAGCGATGTTATCTAATTTGATCAGACCATTGATATTGTACTGATTTGTGGAGTATGGTATTTTGATTAAGTGTTCCAGTCAAGACTATCCTTTTTTTTGCCAGAGCTATTAGGGTTCCTTTGTATAAAAATAAACTAATTCTTCCTTGCGCCAAGCATTAAATCATGCGGCAAATCCAGATAGGAAGAAACTGTTTTGTCCCACAAACTGCAAAAGCAAATAGATGTTCAATCCACATCCCTCCTCCACATGTTCAAAAGTTCAAAGACAGCCATTGAAGATGTTGGCCCTGAGCAGTGTTTTTTTTAATCCTGGATCTGGTTGTGCTTCAGTAACTTGATATAAAGATGCTCCAAGATGTCAAATGTGCTTTCTGAATGAATGATTCCAATGGTCAGGCTATGTGATACTGGGCGTGAGGCTTGGGAGCAGGAGAATTGCATGGTCAAACGTTTTAAAAAATTAATTTAAAATTGGAAGTGGATGAAGTTAATTTGCTCGTTTCATTCTCTTGTGTAATCTATTTTTAGTCAGGTGGGGGAAATTACACCATATTTTCTGTAACCTTTCTCCCACTTGGTTTCTTCCTATACTATTTCTTTCTGTACTCCACCACCTCTTACAGAGTCATAGTGTCATACAACATGGAAATAGACCCTTCGGTCCAGCACATCCACACTGACCAGACATCCCAATCTGACTTAGTCCCATTTGCCAGTTTTTGGTCGATATCCTTCTAAACCCTTCCTGTTCATATACACATCCAGTTGTCTTTAAATGTTGTCATTGTACGAGCCACCACCACTTCCTTTGGCAGCTCATTCCATATATGCACCACCCTCTGCATAAATCTTGGTGTTCAATTTTTAATAATTCCTTTGCGTTGTTCTGCGTTTCCATGAAGCATGTAACTCGATTACATTGGATTGAATTTGTTGCCAAAGGTACAGAAACTAGACCGGGAAGTTTCAGGTGTTTTTTTTTTTTTTTTGATTACTTTTTACCTTTAAAGTGCAAATGGTACATTTTACGTGAAGTTAACTGTTGCTTGAGATTTGATCACCCCACACTGAATGCCCCTCTCTGCTAAATATTTTAATTTGTTCAAGATTGTTTAAACTTTTAGCCCAGAACAGAATTTCCCAGAAGGAAGGCTATTTATGGTGTATTTGACGAAGACTACGTGGAGTTGGTGGCATGCTATTTTTATCCGAATACTGTCTACCACTCACTCTCATGCTTGCTGTCCCTCCTCCAAAAACTGTCCGATCCTAGTTAGCATTTGTGTGAAGCTAAAAATAGTTTTGCACCTATGTTAAAACTTGCTTGTGGAAACACTACAACGGGTTGATTTCTGGTTTCCTTGGCAGCTGGCTCTGTTTCTGATGAATGGGTAAATAGCTGAAGATCACGTGAGGTTCTTTAGAGGTTTATGCAGGTAATCACGTAGAGGAAGTTAAGGTATCAGGTTGAGCAATAAACTAGGACACGACCAATTGTAGTCTGATCTGGCCTATTCTTTATCTCTTTATGGATGAGCAGTGACTTAGTTCTACCGAGTTGACTGAGAATTTCCAGGGCTGCAGTAACTTGGCTGCTAATGGAAATGAAGGAGTATATCTTTTAAGGAAACATTGGACAGGCTTGGCCTGTATCCATTGATGTTTGGAAGGCTGAGGGGTGATCTTATTGATGTATATAAAATTTCCAAGAGGACTTAACAGGGTGGATGCTGAAAAGGGGAAACATCCTGTGGAACAGACTAAATCTAGGTGACAGTTTCAAAATTGAGGGGGATACCACTTAAGGTGGATTTTTTTTTTTGCGATTCATGAGTCTTTGACACTCTCTTCCCAGAGATTTAGAGGTGGGGTCATTGAACGTTTTAAAAGAACAAGTGGAAAAATGCTTGATGAATCAGAAAATAGATAGATATCGAGGGTAGGCAGGAATGTGAATTTGAGGCCACTGTCAGATCATTTACCATTCTGGAGATGGAGCAGGCCGTAAAGGATGGATGTTCAAATCTTCTAGTTTGTGTCTCTGAATAATTTGCATTGGTTTTGGTTATCTGCATGGACATCAGTCACCTGTTCTATTCAATAGAAAAGGATTCAGTTGATAAATGATTTTTTCTGAATCTGGAGCTGAATTTATTGTGGAATCAGTAGCTATGGAAGAAGTTAGGGATACTGAGGGATATAAGGATCCCTGGATGTCTTCCAGGAACACATGGCCTCAAGCCTGCAGTTTTGCGTACATTCTGTTCCTAAAACCTAAGCTGTGACTTGCATCCTGTTTCTGGCTCTGTTTCTGGCCCTGGAATCCAGCTTTAGAGATGATGGTGAGGGTGTTGGTTCAGAGCTATATGCAGACAACTAAGTGTGAACAAACGATACACTTTTCTGTCCTTGTTCTATCAGCCTGCTTGAATGGGAGGTAATTTTGGTCTGGGTCTCCAGGCTGTGTTTTCGAGCCCTAATCTGGTATATGAGCAGGAGATTAAAACTTGAATGGACCACCATTTTATTGGCGATGCTGTCTTTCAGGTTGACAGTGTTGTGGCCTGGTCAATCTGTTCAGTTGAATGTACAATTTCTGGTGGCTTTTTGATTCCCAAAAAGCTGTAAAATTTGCCATGTTCTAGTGCTTTCTTGGAATCAATCATGAGTTAGTGGGTTGGAGGAAAAAATCAAGTCAATGACTGTGGTACTTGTTAGAAAAATAGTGTGCCGCAACTGTGATAGAGAAATTTTGATCAGGCTGCAAGAGAGCTGGGAGGGGAAGATTTTTAGTGTGGGGGTGTGGGCTAGAGTTGAGTGCATTGGGAGAAGTTGAGAGCAAGTAATGATAAATATTCCCAGAATAATTTTGCAGTCAATGATGGAGGCAGTGCTGGAGCCTTTGAGCTCATTACCCTGAACCATGGCATAACTTGTCTGAAATGTTAACCAGTTAACGAATTAGGAACATTCTTTCAATTTTATGTACTTTTGCCTTCATCAAATGGTGGCTGTCATTCAGAAATGATTAAGCATCTACTCTCTTTCTGTATAATTTTGGAGAAAGTTGGATTAAATTTCTTTGGGAGCCCGGTATCATTTTTTGTTTAAATTCATGGGATGAGGGTGTTGTTGGCTAAACCAGCATTTATTGCCCTTCCCAAATTGCTCAGAGGGCAGTTAAGAGTCAAGCACATTGCTGTGGGACATGTAATTTGATGGTTAATGTGTCATTTGAATTCTGCCGCAAAGCAGCTTCTGACCAGTAATGTTCTAAGTTTAATATACCAGCTAGAGGCTTTTAGAAAACGGATGTTTGGTGGCAATGTGAAAATTTTTATTATAGAATGTAGATAGAGAGACGTGTATTTCATACAGTTTGCTGTTTGTTTTGTACAAGTAAAACCCCACATTTGTGACGCAATTAGATTAATAACCCTTGAGCATATTCATTTTATTTTTATATACGGAACTTGTGGACTTTCAACTAATTGCAACATTAAAAAATCCATTAATTTTGGAAGTGAAGGACTTGAATTTGTATGTTTGACCTCTGGATATCCCAAATCGTTTGCAGCTAATGAATTCTAGTCATTGTAATGTTGCAAACAGGCCAGGTACCACAATGAGCAGTTAAATAATTGTTTGAGGGTTAACAATTGGTCAGGATACAAGGTGAACAACCCTGTTTTTTATATAGCAACATGGAATCTTTTACAT